AAGTTGTGCACGGCTTATAAACAAAAAGGCAAAAAAGATTATTTTTCGAAACAGCGCGATTTTCTTTCAAAAATTCTAACTCTCCATACAAAAGAAGCATAAAGCGGAAACTTGCTCACCCTATAGATGACAAATGGCGTTCTGAATTGTGCAAATTGCACTCAAATCCCACTAAAACCAAATTTTTGCGCCCATTGCAAACGATAGTTCAAATGTTCAAATGAGGGTATCTTTCAACTGCACCACCTTCTTCATTGAAAATGTGCATCATCCAATCCAGATCAGGTGGCAACGCAAAACTTTGAGAATCTATAGTCGACACTCGATTCTTGAAATCGTCAAAGTTTCATTTAAATCGCATGCAAGCCTAATTTTTGCACTCATTTTAAACAATGGTGTAAAAAAGGAGACTTTTTCCAAAAAGCGCAATTTTCCGAAATAAAATCCTAACCGCCCTTTTAAAAAAGATGGAAACTGGCTACTTGCACACCATATAGCACATAAATGGTACTTCGAATGGTGAAAATTGCGCTAAAATCCCAGTAAAATCTTATTATTGCGCGGTTTGTAAATGAAGGAGTAAAAATCAGGTTCTCACTCAACTGCGCGGTCTCAATTAAAAATTCCTAACTATCAGTATAGATCAGGTAGCGACTTGAAAATTTCAAACCCTATAGAAGATATTCAGCTCTCCTGATTCTGAAAGTTTTATTCGAATCGCACAAAAGCCTGATGTTTGTGGAGTTTTTAAGCAAAAGTGTAAAAATAAACGATTGTTCCAAAAGCACGTTCTTCTTTAAAATATCGTAACTTTCCATACAAAGCACATAGAAACTGCAAACTTGCCCACCCTATACAAGATCGATTCTGCGCCGAGTTCTGAGAATTTCACTCAAATCAGAGAAAAAACTGGTTTTTTCAGCCTGGTCTTGTAAACGAAGGTGTAGGACTGAGGATTTTTCACCACTCCAATAAAAATTCGTAACTTTCAGCATAGACCAGGTAGTGACTTGAAAATGTCACACCCTATAGAAGATATTCAGTTCGTTCGTAATTTTGAATGTTTTATTCGAATCGCACTATAACCTAATATTTGTGCCTTCTTCAATGCTTTTGTTAGATTCATCTGCGGTTTTCTCCAAGCGGCAGATTGCAAGCGATTCCCCTCATTGTGATTTATTTTCTGTTTTAATCGTTCTTTATAGCGGTGTTTTGTCGAGTAGTTCGATTTTCTTTGTTTTTTCGTCTGCATATTTCTTTTGTAACCAGCTTTCTAGAATGATTTTGTTAGATTGATGTGCGTTTTATCAAAGCTGCGGTTTGCAAGCGATTTCCCTTATTGTGATTTATTTTCTGTTTCAATCGCTCTTTATGGCGGTGTTTTGTCGAGTAGTTCGATTTTCTTAGTTTTTTCGCCTGCATACTTCTTTTGTCAGCAGCTTTCTAGAATGATTTTGTTAGATTGATGTGAGTTTTTTCCAAGCTGCGGTTGGATTCGGATTCCCATTGTTGTGTTTTATTTTTTGTTTTAATCGCTCTTTGTGGAGGTGTTTTGTCGAGTAATTCGACTTTCTGTCTGTCCGTTTGATTATTTATTTTGCCAGCAGATTTCTACACTGATTTTGTTAGATTTATGTGGGTTTTTTTCCAAGCTGCTGTTTGGAAACCATTCTCTTTGTTTTGTTTTATTTTCTGCTTTAATCGCTCTTTATGGAGATGTTTTGTCGAGTAGTTCAATTTTTGTAGTTTTTTCATTTGGATATTTTTTTGTCAGCAGCTTTCTTCAATTTTTTTGTTAGATTCATCTACAGTTTTCTTCAAGCGGCAGATTGCAAATTATTCCCCGTGTTGTGTTTTATTTTCTGTTTTAATCGCTCTTTATGGCGGTGTTTTGTCGAGTAGTTAATTTTTTTTAGTTTTCTCATTTGGCTATTTTTCTTGCCAGCAGCTTTCTTCAATACTTTTGATAGATTAATCTGCGGTTGTCTCCAAGCGGCAGATTGCAAATGATTACCCTTGTTGTGTTTTATTTTCTGTTTTAATCGCTCTTTATGGCGATGTTTTGTCGAGTAGTTAAATTTTTTTAGTTTTCTCATTTGGCTATTTTTCTTGCCAGCAGCTTTCTTCAATACTTTTGATAGATTAATCTGCGGTTGTCTCCAAGCGGCAGATTGGAAATGATTACCCTTGTTGTGTTTTATTTTCTGTTTTAATCGCTCTTTATGGCGGTGTTTTGTCGAGTAGTTCAATTTTTTTAGTTTTTCATTTGGATATTTTTCTTGCCAGCAGCTTTCTTCAATACTTTTGATAGATTAATCTGCGGTTGTCTCCAAGCGGCAGATTGCAGATGATT